ACCTCCCCTCCGGATGGCAGCCTGCGGCAAGTGCAGCCGAGCTGATGGCCGAGTGCTGTGATGTGCCGAGTGTGGGCATTCAGGGCACTCCAAGCCAGGACTGCTTTGCTGTCCCTCATTGAGTTAGACAAGCGTGCGGGGAACCCCTGAGAACTGTCTGTCCGGGGTGAGGGTCGGGTCCCTTTAACCACAGCCCTCGGCTAGCCTGAGACAGCAGCTCCACGCTCTAAGCCCTCATCTGATGCCCTGCCGGCACTGCTTCCGGCCAGCCTTAACTTTGGTTCAGGGTCCACTCAATGTGGACATGCTAGTTCGAATTAGCAAAACGCTAATTCGAACTAGTTTTTAGGTCTAGATGCACTAGTTCGAATTAGCTTAGTTCGAATTAAACAGCCCTCGGCTAGCCTGAGACAGCAGCTCCACGCTCTAAGCCCTCATCTGATGCCCTGCCGGCACTGCTTCCGGCCAGCCTTAACTTTGGTTCAGGGTCCACTCAATGTGGACATGCTAGTTCGAATTAGCAAAACGCTAATTCGAACTAGTTTTTAGGTCTAGATGCACTAGTTCGAATTAGCTTAGTTCGAATTAACTAATTCGAATTAAATTAGTTCGAATTAGTGCTGTAGTGTAGACATACCCATAGGAACTTGTATCTGAGTTACACTTGTCATCTCTTCTCCTTCCTCCTCTTTCCACATATTGGGATAGCTCTACTTTGACTGTAAGCTCTTTGGGCTCTTTGTATACCCTTGTCTGTATAGTGCTTAGCCATGCACCACTTAAACCAGTAGGACTGAAGTGGTGTGCCAGTCATGCATTACTAGTCAGAGAGTGCAATTCACCTCTGTACAGAGAATGAGTACAAAATACCTTTGCAGCAAGCATAAATAAGTCTCAGCCTGCAGCACTCTCAAAGGAACCTTGGCAGTATCTAGTTTTGGAGCTGGCTATGGCTTTACACATTGGCTTTCTCCATGCTTCCCTGCTGACTTCAAAAACGTCAGAATCCTGCCCATCCCATGCTAGACATCCACTCATTCAGTTAGATTATGAGTTTCAGGTTGCTCATCTGTCTCATGGTCTTGCTGTTCAGTGGAATCCACTTACTTAATGGGTCATGGGTACGAATACAGAACCCCTGGTTCTGGGTAACAGATGATCATTCTGCAGCAGGGAGTGCAGGCATGATTTCATGCCCACAAGCAGGCTACAGGTCTCTAGAGCAGAAGTTGTACATCTGATTACATGAAAGTGGCTGAGCTGTTGAGCTGTAGAGTCCAGTTCTATGCCAACAAGCAGGCTGTGGTTCTAAAGCACAGAGAAGAAAGAGAAATGATTACCCTACATTTAAATATATTCCCCTTCTCTCATTTCTCTTCAGACACCTACCTGCTTTCAGAGGAGTAATGGATTTCTCATGTCTGTTTTGATGGGCCCATATTTTTATACTGCACACACTTTCCCAATATCTGACCGTAAAAGATGTATCTAGAGAAGAGTGCAGAGGCAGAATCTCCTGACACCACTCACAGTTGGATCCAGTCACATCTTAGTGTTACAGGATCATCTACATCTTTGGGATGTCCACTGAGCCTGTGGAATGTAGACGCACCCATGGAAAATGCCTTCTCATCTGGCCCTTAACAACACTTTGTGTCCTGTTCATTTCTGTAACCGATTGCTCTTGCAATAAATTTTGCAGGGTGAGACAGACAGAGGGGCTTGGCATGGGGACAAGAAAAGGAAGGACAGAATGTGCTGGTTTGGATGTTCAGTGCATGGCCTATTTGGAGTGACATTGCTGGGGGATATCCTTTCACCTAGTTCATTCTAGACAGTAAGAGCCCCTTGTTTGCCCTCTTCTGCTTTGATTAGTAACAAGTCTAGTAGCCACAGTGTTCATAAGAATGGCCATAGTGGGTCAGACCAAAGGTCCATCTAGCTTAGTATCCTGTCTTCCAACAATGGCCAATGCCAGAGACCCCAGAGGGAGTGAATAGAACAGGTATCATCAAGTGATCCCTCTCCTGTCATCCATTTCCAGTCCTTGACAAACAGAGGCCAGGGGCACCATTCCGACCCATTCTGGCGAATAAGCATTCACAGGCAGAGGGGGCACCATTGCTCTTTCAGAAAAGGAAATGTAAAACTTTCCAGTCCAGCTTTTACCTTTGTGGCAGAACAGCTAGGTGGAGGGGAAAGTTCATCCAAGTTTGCTGGGTACAGTTGCCTGTGGCCTTGTCACACCCGACCCTCCCCCACTGTTCAAAATACAGGGCCCATCCACACTAGAATGACAATTGTGAATTTTGTAACTGGGTATGGTTTGGCTTCTTTAACAGGTAACAAAGTTCCGCTTGTGTCCACACAGCACCTTTGCTGCCATCACTATTGTGTTATTCATTCACACCTACTAGGATGCCTAATCATGTCTGCATTGGTGCATTCTGGGAAAATCCAAGTAGCTATCCCATAGTGCCTCAACAGGGACTAGCCAGGGGATATACATAGAGAGCAGCACCAGCAGGGCATAGGGAAGTGCACTCAGAGACTTCCTATTAAACAGAGAGCTGGAAGGAAGGAGGACAAGCCAGACCAGTTACACAGGCACTGTTATGGAGTCCTTTCTACATAGCGGAATAAGTGTGTCAAACTAGGTACAGGAAGACAGCCAGAATAGGCCACTGCCAGGGTGACACACTGTTTATAGCCCTAGTTACTGCTAGAGTTTTAACTACTTTCCGTGTAGGCACAAACTAAATTCTGTGCTGTGCCTCCCAGAAGAACAGTACAGAAAGTCCCAGGAACAGTTTGGGGAAAGGTGGCTTTAATCCACCTTAGAACTATCTGGTTGCTGAGTGCACTCAGGGCTGATTCAGTAGCCCCAACATAAGTGGCTGCTCTGACTTATGGATGACTAAAGGCTACTCTACGGTTCAGGTTGGCCATTTACACCTTGCCCTGGGCATGTCCCCTGCACTGGGAGCTGCAAGGAGGAACAGTTTACAATTGCATACACAGGCCCCATGCAGTTCTAACCTCAAAGGAACTCTCCTGTAGGCTTTTGTGACTCTCCTCTAGGCTTTTGTATTTATAGTTCCTAGCCGCTACCAGAGCAGTGTCTAGAGGCCAGGGTAGTAGCCCAGAATCTGGCATCCGGGTTTGAGCTACCCAGGACATGATTAGAACTAACCCGCACACTGACTGGTGACACGCTGCATTAAAAGCTGTAGTGTGGCAGCCAGTAAGTTTCCAGTGCTGAGATGAAAAAGGAAGAGAAAAGGATTAGGGAGGAGGATGTATGACCTGAAACGGGTGCAGACTTGGTGTCTAAGGAGTAGGAAGGCTGGGACCAGAACTCAAGAATAGAGGCCAAGAGACTTCACCTTGTTTGAATTAACCATTATCTCTTTTTGTCTGAGATCCAGCTCCTGTGATTTCCTGTCATCCTAAATATCTACACCCCAAGCATGCACAAAGAGAGGGGCACTCAGGCCCTGACATGCTCCTCAGAGGGCTTTCCCTCTCCCTCCACACTAATGCCTGCATGGTAGAGACTGCAGCCTCTTCTGGCTGGGAGAGGGGAGCGGCATACATGCATTCCTCTGCACCTGGAGAACAAATGTCAGCATGAGTAGTGTCCCTGAGGAGAGGGATTAACTAATCCCTTACATCTTGAGGGTATTCACACATTTGTGCAGCACCAGTGCCTATCACATATCTCAATGGAGAAAGAGTCATCCATATCCCCTATACACATTGGAAAGGGGCCCTTTGCAGATAGAGAAAACTCTCTTTCATTGATGTGCTATGGCTGGTGTCCCAAGAAGCTTGGTGGGGTTTGATTCTCACAGTGTGCTTGTTTCAGACCTGGAGAGTGGCGTGTGGGCCCTTGGACACAAGCTGTGTTCCATTATGGTGAAGCAGGAACAAAACCTGGTTCCAGAACTTCCTGAATCCCAGCTTGCAGCCAGCTTAGTGCCAGCGCTGAACCTCAACCCACTGCAGAGACTGCCGGCACCTGAGGAGGTGAGCCTATTTCACCCAGAATATGGGCCTGGGTATGTGTCTGTTAACTGGAACTTCCCAACAACAAACCCCGACTGTGTCTTGGCTCTGTGGGCCCCTTAGCTGCCATTATAGGGTCCTTCTGGGAAGGGGGCTGAAGTTGAAACAAAGTTGATTCCCAACTATTTCCTTATTACTAGCAATTTCTCCCTTGAAATAACTAGTAGAATGGTGTTAACTCCCCCGTATCCCTATTTTAATGAAAAGAGCAAAAGGACCAAAGAGCACATACTCCTCCTGTGTCGACATGGAGGGTATGTCTACACTTGCACCCCAGTTCGAACTAGGGATGTAAATGTAGGCATTTGAAATAGTAAATGAAGCCAGGATTTAAATATCCTGCGCTTCATTAGCATAATCTTGGTCACGCGCTGTTTCGGAACCCAGCTGTTTCGAAAGTGAAAGCGTGCTCTGGGCTGTGTTAGTTCTAATCAAACCCCTTGGTTCGAACTAACATTACTCCTCATTTTTTGATGGGCTGAATATGAGCCTGCTGCTTCTCAGTCCTGCCCCCAGCTCTGCCACTCACTTGTCATGTGGCCTTGGGCCCCTCACTTCCCAAACTGAACAACGGGGATAATGACCCTTCTTTGAGGTTCCAGTGCTGCTATTTGTGAGGTTCAGGTGAATACCACCTGCAAAGTGTTAACAATTGTTATGAATATTTCCAAGAACTGGGGGACCAAAGCTCTCATCCACGCCCAATGTCCTTACAATGACCCTGAAGAACACTTTTGGATACATGCTCCCCTTGGTGACATGCAGGTCACTTGAGGGCTCAGTTTAGCCCTGGCTCCTGTGGGGTTCTTCTGAGAGGGGAGGTTTGTCCAATCTTGCTTGGTGCTGAACTATCTTGTACCTTGTGACCCATCAGATACAGTAGATCCTTTCCTGGTTTATCTTCCTTTTTTGACTCATGCTGGGCGACTTCCCTTTCAGACAATTCTATTAAACAAATCAGCTCTTCAAGCCAGAAATGCACACAAACTTTCTTCATTATTTACACTGCGTGAACTCCCTGTGCCCTCAAATGCAGATCGGTTTTGTGTGCCTGACAGCTGATAGGACCCTCCCTCAGCTATGTTTACAGACTGGGGGAGTTTGCAATGTGACTGTTCAGTGTAAAATCTCTCAGTCTTGCCTGTGCTGGAATGGGGGAAGGGAGGCTGGAAGCAGAGGGGCAGTTCAGTCCAAGCTGGGAGCACCATGCTGTTCATGTTAACTCTTAATCCCTTTGATGAGAAACAGCTGTTCAGAGGCCCTGGTGAAAGCCCTGAGCCCTAGAGTGATTTTACTCTTTTTCTTAAAGCCTGTGTACATTCTCACAGCTCTGATTAAGGCAGATCTAGGAGAGGCATCCCTCTTAATTCAGGGGAGCTGTTTAAATAGTGTTTTTGCAGCCTTGAGCTGGGCTAATGGCCACGGAGGTAATAGTCTTCCTGCAGAGATGCTGCCTTGTCATTTGCAGTGGCAGCATGGTTGTGGGTGGCTTCCCCTCCCTCAGCACATCTACATGTTTGTATTTGGTGTGTCAGGCACAGGGAGAGATTTTTGACATGACTGTCTACATGCTGTCGGTTGCCAGTGTACCTGTTGCTAGTGCCGGAGCAGGCTGGTGGGTGGGCTCAGGGGCTCAAGGTGGAATGTGGCAATGTAGAGAACTGGTAAAGCCATGGCCACAGCCAACACTCTGCCAGGGCTGTTTGTGAAAGGTGGGGAAGGGAAGCAAAAAAGACACTGAGAGATAGCTGTGCACTCTTGCTTTTTCACAGGCACCTGTGGAAATGACTCCACCACCCGTGATCAAAGCTGAGCCCAGGGAAGTGAACCAGTTTTTAAATGTACCAGCAGGTAAGAAAATAGAATCAGCCAGCTGGTACTTGTTCCAGTCCCGGATCCCTTCAGTATTGCACAGATCTGACTGCAAAGCTAGTCACTCCAAGACACGCACATAGGCACACTAAACAACTCTCCTACATTGATCCTTTAGCATAGAATAACATCAGGCAGGCTGAGATGAGTTACCATGGATCCCCTATCTTCATGCAGAATGACCTGTGTTCAGATACAAGCGGAATTACAGCATGTCCAGATTGACACATACAGAATTATTTGCAACTTCTATGCACAAGAAACTGTCTTACAGCTGGAAATATCTATGAGAGATCTGAGCATTGAAAGCCTCACAGGGACCTTGGAGTTATCCAAAAACAACCATCTGAAAGCCAGGAAATTCAGAACTCAGTTTAATTTGAAAGGAACTCAAACATTTGAAGTCTGAAAATGCACAATTAAGGCGTCATTAAGAATTCTGACTGTCCCAGAGAGAGACAGCCTAATCATGCTCCCACATAGAACTCAGCCTGGAGGAGTGGAGTCAGTCCTGTGACCCAGAGGTGAAGCAGTTCTCAAGCACCAGGTGCTAGATTACGATACCGAGGAACCAGAGCCACTAGAGTGCACTAAGTACCATGGCGAGTGTGTGAGCCCCTGAAATGCTTTAATAATACTGCCTGACTCCCATATAGCGCTTTTCATCAAAATGCTCTACAAAGGAGGTCGGTATCTTTATTCCCATTTTACAGATGAGGAAACTAAGCACAGAGTGGTACTCTTCCCCTGGAGACCTCCCTTTGCCTGTGAGTGTGTACTAGGCAAAGGGGAGGGTCGTTTTGGAGCAGCATAGCTGAGCCAGGGCACAGCAGACTTTGCATGCTGTTTTGGTCCTGATACCAACCCATCATTGTGGTATCTGGATACCTTGTAAAGATCCCCAGCATTTTGGCCAACTCCCTAATGGTAGCAGAGTCAGTTCTCTGGAAGCTGGCTTGATTCAGACATTGCTAATTTAGCCCTGAATGCTTTTTGACACATGTTTTCTAACATCTCTGATTTTGTCTGGGGCACTAGATTTCACCAAGTCCTATTAGGCTACATCTACACTGCAACACTATTTCAGGATACTGGAGTCTCCTGAAATAGCTATCCTGCATCTTCACAACAAGCCCGTTATCTCGGGCTTGCTATTCCAATGTCCCTGCAAACCCCATTCTACGAGGAGTAAGGAATGTTTCAGAATAGCACTTTTTTTTGAAATTTGGTGCCGTATAGACAGTGCCAAATGGTGAAATAAGCTCTTTTGAAATAGCATCAAAATAAGTTATGCAATTTGCATAGCTCAAATTGCGTATCTTATTTCCAGTTATGGTGAAGTATAGATGCACCCTTAGAGAACTCATTTTATAACCATGATTGTAGGAATACATTAGAAGGCCAATGGTACTGCTGCAGGCGCTACCAAATGTGGGACATGTTCTGTTCCCGCCGAGACAGGGGTTTTGAGGCTCAAATTGGCCAGTCATGTGAAATCAAGGCTGTTGCATGGTCTGCTCACACTAATTAAAACAAACAAGCCTGCTTACAGATATCACACACCTAGAGCACATCAAATGGGCTGCTTCTGTGAACATCAGTACAGCTGGCCTCCTTGGTAACAATGGCCCTCATCAAATTCACAGTATCCCATCTCCTCAGAGTGCCTCCTCCCTAAAGCTCTAGGAAGAATGGTGGGCCTTGCAGCTTGGCCAGGTTAACAAACAAAAGGTGAGGCAGCTGGAGCAGGAGATATATCCACAGAGTAATATCCTATGCAGGGTGCCACAGTGAACAGTTCCCTCTCCTTTAAGCCAAATGCATGGCAGCATAAGGTATTTCTTTGGGAAGCAAATTCTGGTCACTTCCTCCCAGCAGGGACTTTGTTCCAGTCCCTGCATTCATATCCCCTCCACAGGGGCTTTATCACTACCTTAGCCCTGGGGATTTCCCTTCTCTCTCACCCACACTGTGTGTGAGCCAGTACTACTGAAAATCAAGTTCTCAGAGGACTCCCTTGCACTCTGTTAGGCTAGGTCTACACTATAGGGTTTTTTCAGAAAAAGCTATGCAAATTGACTCCGCAATTTGCATAGCTTTTTCCAATCGCTTTTCCGGAAGAGGCTTTTCTGCCATTTGGCCCAGTTTAGATGGGGCCAGATGGTGAAAAAGCCTGCTCTTTCGGTGGAACCCTTATCCCTCGTGGAACGAGACATATAGTGCTCCCCAAAAGAGCGCATTTGCTCTTCCACCAAAAAAAAACCAACAACCAAAAAACGGAAGAGCAAATGTATTCCTTGGACACAGTGGAGTTTTTCCGTGATACCCTACAGTGTAAACATACCCTAATTACATAAGAACAGACTCCCCGTGTCCCAGGTTTCAACACCATTTGGTCTAGCTGTCCCTCCATGTGTACAGAGGGGTAACTGCATCAAATTTCAGGGACATTGTAGCAGTGCTGCTTTAGCATGGGACCACCACTGCTTAAAAGTGGCCAGGCCCTGCCTCCCCCAGCCTCTGAGTTTTGCAGTTTATGGAACTTTGAACAAGTGTTCACTACCACAACCCTTCATCCCTGCTATCTGGCACCATTGACTGCAGCTGTATGGCATGGGCGGAGAGGCACTGCTGAAATGTTCAACCCCAAAACTTGCTGGGACTGAATTTTTCAAGTGGCAGCTGATTTTGAATGTCTCCGACTGAACATTCAGAAACTGAAGTACCCAAAATCAGAGCTCCTGAGCGCTCGCAAGCCCCACACAGAGCACATCATAGCAATGGGCTCTCAAGGTCACAGAGGCCTGGATAAGAAGGCTCACTTGCATCCTTCCCCTTGTCATGGCTCAAAGAAAGCCCTCTTCCACAGTCACTGCCTGGGCATCAAGAACAGCCCTGGCCCCACTTACCCCCTCAAAGGCAAGGGTGGAACGTGTACTCTCTGGCTACGTCTACACTAGCATGATTTTCCGGAAATGCTTTTAACGGAAAAGTTTTCCGTTAAAAGCATTTTTGGAAAAGCATGTCTAGATTGGCAGGACGCTTTTCCAAAAAAGCACTTTTTCTGGAAAAGCGTCCGTGGCCAATCTAGATGCGCTTTTCCGCAAAAAAGCCCCGATCGTCATTTTCGCGATCGGAGCTTTTTTGCAGAAAACACTACTGTGCTGTCTACACTGGCCCTTTTCCGGAACAGTTTTCCGGAAAAAGACTTTTGCCCAAACGGGAGCAGCATAGTTTTTCCGGAAAAGCACTGATGATTTTACATTAGATCGTCAGTGCTTTTCCGGAAATTCAAGCAGCCAGTGGAGACAGCTGGCAAGTTTTTCCGGAAAAGCGGCTGATTTTCCGGAATAACTTGCCAGTGTAGAGACAGCCGCCATGTGCAGGTCATGGCACAACCGTTGATGGTTCTTCCATTTATTCCCCCAAGTTACCAACATTGTGTCTTTCCTGGGTTGAGCCTCAGCGAGCTTGCCCTCCTCCAGCCCCCAGAGTGCTATGGACAGTGCTTTCTCCTCCCTGCCCCTTTCTCAGGGAAGCACTGGCCCTGATGCTGTCCATGGCCCCGCACCTGTCCCAGCAGGTGGATGTTGTAGTAGTGAGTAACAGGCTCTCCTTACTTCCCATTAGATGACCTGGTGCAGATGCCTCCGACACCCCCCAGCAGCCATGGCAGTGACAGTGACGGATCCCAGAGTCCACGCTCCCTGCCTCCCTCCAGCCCGGCCCGGCCAGCTGCTCGCTCTTCCAGTGCAATCTCCACCTCGCCTCTCCTCACGGCACCACATGTAAGGAGCGAGAATGAAGACGTCAGAGCGTTGCCACAGCCTAGAGTGCAGGGTTCTTTGTGCTCATAGGAGCTGGGACTTTACGTGGCTGAAGGTCACAGGGTGACCTTGGTTATTAGTCGGACTGTTAGTAATTTCTGCTCAGCCCCAGGTCTGGATAACCAGAGGGGTGCTGCAAGTCAGGAGTGAGGTCCATTGGCAGAGCTGGCTGGGACTCCAGGCCTGAAGTGGTGAGATTGGAGGGAGTGTTGCAAGTCAGGCTTGAGATACATGCCAGAGAAAGATGATGGAAAGAGGCTTGAATATCACCTGCCTGTGACCACCTCACTCCACCCAGAGTTATGTTAGTGTTTCACTTTCAGGATCACTCAATTCACCAAAGCACGCATAAGGGAGTTCCTGGCAAAGGAATAACTGAGAAGTCACGTAGAAGGGACATGAAGTAACTGCCTTTCATGAGCTCTACAACAAATGCCATAGGCAACAACAGCTTGGGGAGCAGATGTATTGGTGAGCGGAGTGGGAAGCAGTCAGCTGACTGTGTCACTAGGGACAGAGTGAAGCTGCAGTGAAGACCATTGCCAGGGGTTTATTTACAGCAAGGGCCCCTGTTGCGGTGGCTAAAGTGAGGGCCCGTGGGGTGGGATTTGTTGCTGATGCTCCGTGTGCCACTGATAGCTTCTGCCTGTTTATTTCAGAAGTTACAAGGGACTTCAGGCCCCCTGCTCTTGACTGAGGAGGAGAAACGCACCCTGATTGCAGAGGGCTACCCCATCCCTACCAAGCTGCCCCTCACCAAAGCAGAGGAGAAGGCACTGAAGAGGGTCAGGAGGAAAATCAAGAATAAGGTCTCTCATTTAATTACATCTTAAACAAATAGTTTAAATGATGCAGACACATCAGGCTGTGCACGTGCCATAACCAACCAGTGTAACCGCACAATCTTATTGCTATTGTTACTCTCCCCTGCCCCTCCTCCCTACAATCACCTCCTACAGCTTGTCCCAAAGAATATTGTAAGCTCTTTGGGGCAGGGCCCAAGGTTTCCTCTGATTGTGTGTTCAGCACTCAGCACAAAGGAGTCCAAATACTGAACAAAGCCACTGGGCATTACCATAACAGACATATTAAATCATATAACTGGGTACTGCTGTGAGGTTCCATGAGACACTCAGATTAGCAGGAGCCCCATGGCGGAGCTGATGAGATCCCGCAGCATGTATTAGTCACCACTGGTGATTCAAAGATGGCTTAGGGCAAGATTCTTTCCAGACAACCCCATCACGTAGCCACATGAGTCAGTAGATTTCTGAGTGACCCCAGAGATGCCTGCAGGGGGGATGAAGTTCAGGTCCATTGCAAAAGTGATTTGTAACCTTCACATTGGGCAACGTCATGTCTCACTCTTGGCTTCCTAAGTGTTCTGTGGCCAGATGTGAATGGGAAGAGTGATAGACCAGTCTCCTTTGGACAGGAGAAAGTGTGTGCAAAGGAAACAGGCATCTAACAAAACTGGGGTGAGGACGAAGACCAAGGGGCTTGAAGTCTATAGTGCTGACTCATGTTTGGTACTTCCTCACCTCCCAGATCTCTGCTCAGGAGAGTCGCAGGAAGAAGAAGGAATATGTAGAGTGTCTAGAGAAAAAGTAAGTGTCATCTTCTCTCTTCTACGGGTCCAAGCAAGGTTATTACTGGACATGAGGACCTCTGGCCTCTACATTGTCACTGCTCATGTTGTGATGCAGTGTCCTGGGGCCCCAAAGCCCATCCAGCTGTTCACTCACCTTTTCTGGGGGCTGGAATTCAGCTCTAAGCATGCCCCGCCCCATAGATGGCCATGACAGCTACAAAGATCTCTCCCCAATCCCAGTACTGTACAGGAAAACACTACAGCTATTGCAAGTAATGGCACTGTAATGCCTGGGCTGTCTGGCTTTGATAGGATTCTGTTCCGAGGGCTTTTAAGTTAAAAATCATCTTAAAGTATCTGAGATTTCAGCTGCTGACTCTTCTTAATATCTGTGCCTCAGAGCACAGCCTTGAAGTGGTGACACCCTATTTGATAGTGGGGAGTCCTCAGCATACACACTACTTGGTGATGTTTGGGGTATTAGGTCTAACCGTGATTCTCTGTACAGGTGTTAGGTGGGTTTCTTGGCACACAGATTTGGTTTATGAACAACCGCCCCTCCCCTCCCCCACCTGCCCCCAGACAGCCTTTGCAGTGCTAGATGATTCTTGGGATCATCTCTCTTCTGCTTGCCTTATTTTGTTTGCCCCCAATATTCCAGGCCTTATGACCCATTGTTCGGGTAGCATGTTTGGTGAGATTATTGTTTCTTTAGCTCTGGTCTGTGCGGTCACTTGGCTTTGGGATGCCACTTAAAATGATGGGGGAAGGCACAAATTTTCCCCGCCACCAACTGGCCCCTTTCTTTCCCTCAGAGGTGCATCCTACACTAGCACCGGACACCCCTCGTCTGTGAGCTCCACAACCTCAAAACTGGAGTGAGTGGTGTTGTGAGTGACCCACACTGGGCCACAGCGCCTCTGATGTTTGGGCCAGCCAAAAAGTGGTCAGGCCCTCGCCCGGCATGCAGCCAGAGCTGACTACACTGTGGATCAAACCCAGTTAATGACTAATCAAATACAGACCCACAGACAGATTCTTCTGACACCCGGTATTCAAATTTTCAATTGTGACTATCACTATATTATTCGTGCATCTGCTCTGATCAGAAATCCCACATTTGCATGAACATATGGAGTAACTGTACATCTCACTGCTCTCTGCATACGCTTTCATATATTTTGCATATGGTTGATGCCATAGCAGTGTGGGCACTTGGGGGTATTAAATAAAATCCCCTCATCCCTCAAGGCTAAGATGATGACTCAAGTGGCTAATAGCCAGGAAGAAGCTAAGGTCAATTTTGTTCCCTAAAGTCCCCTGCTTGAGGTTTGCTTTTCTTCTTATAATGTGAGCTAGGGCGATAGGATCTACTTCCCTTCATAGATCCCGGCTTGCCTGTCTGAGTTGCGGTTACAAGTTTAACATGCTGGGACACTGTCGGGTTAGAAATAATCTATGGCATGGCCCTGCAATCAGATCCATGCAAGAGGCTCCCAAAATTTTTGTGGAGCCCCAAATGGGCCTCTTAGACACAGAAGTCAGTTCTCAAGGATCCAGTGTCATGACCAGTGTTTTAAGAGTGTCCTTTCCTCTGTCATTAATAACACCTGAGATCATTACAATGGGCAGAGTCTTTAAAAGGCCCAATTCAGTTTTCACTTTCCTCTCTAAATGGAGAGAAATGCACAATGGAAACAGATGAGTCAGTTTCACCTTCTGGCTCTTTTGCTCTTATGTTGTAAAACTCTAACTAAGTGTGTGCATGTGAGTGTATCTCCCTCTGGTGGTTGGCTACAGGTAAGGATAAAAGTCCACCTCTTCCAGTTAACAGGATTGCTCCTCTAGTTTGAGTGTCAGGGTAATGTACTTTCAGTCCTGAAGATACTAGGTTCATTCCCTGCTCATGCCCATAGTGTCTGTATGTTCATGGCTGATTATTACTTTATCACTGTGCTACAATATCTGGACTACGGTGTAGGGTTAATATGTTAAGAAAAAAGTTCATTGGAATTTCAAGTGTAACCAAAACATTTTTATGGACCTTAGTTTGTACAAAACCTACATGTGGGCCTAAAAGGTTCAACCCGGTAGTGTCCCGTTAAGCACAATTTTTATATTGAATGGGTAGTTCAGAAACTAGACAAGGTCATTTGACATGGTTGTATGTATTGGAAAGTCTTCTGTTTTATTAATGTCACTTCCATAGCCACTATTCTTCCCCCAGCCCTTCAGAACTTTCCCTTCAGCTGTTCCCTGGACCTTTGCAGGATGCTTTTGCCATAATACAGTTCTGGAGAAGAACTAGGAGAAAAGGCAAAATACAGGACTATGTAGCACTTTAAAGACTAACAAGATGGTCTATTAGATGATGAGCTATCGTGGGCCAGAGCTCATCATCTAATAAACCATCTTGTTAGTCTTTAAAGTGCTACATAGTCCTGCATTTTGCTTCAGCTACACCAGACTAACACGGCTACATTTCTACTACTAGGAGAAAAAGGAGATTATGCAGGTTCTCCACTGCCCCCCAATGGCTAGAGCTGGTCACATGTGTGAGCCATGAATTCTTTCCCCCCTAATAGGGTGGCAACTAATGCAAATTCTCCTTTAGCTCAGAGGATAGTGAGGCCCAAATTAGTCTAGCGCAACCTTTTAAAACCAAAGAGCCAAACTACATCAAAATTCAGAACAAGTGCTCAACAAAGAGCCCTATAAGAATGCCCATTTGCATGACTGAGAATATACAACTTAATATTATTGATAATTGACATGATGATTAATAATAGCATAAATGAAACATTGTACTCAGACTTTGTACTCAAACATTGTAATGGGACTAATGCTGCTGCATCTTTCTGCACATTTCTTTGAAGTTTACATCATAACTAGTCAAATCCAGCTTCATGTACGCATTCAGGCTGTCTTCTGTCAATCTTATGGCAGGGGGCTAGGGATGTGGGAGTGCAGGAGTTTGGGTTGGCGTGTATGGGGGCTCAGGACAGTGGATTCAGGTGTATGATGGGCTCAGGGCACAGGGTTGGAGCATGGGGGGTGCAGGAGTGTATAGCAGGGAGCTGAGGATTTGGGGATGCAGGAGTCTGGGTTGGGGTGTATGAGGGGCTCAGGACAGGGGGTACAGGTGTATAATGGGCTCAGGGCCGGTGAGTGGGAGGTGCAAGAGGCAGGGCAGGGCTACAGGTGTATAATGGGCTCAGGGCCGGTGTGTGGGAGGTGCAAGAGGCAGGGCAGGGCACTGGGAGTGGGAAGTAGAGTGGGGGGGCATGGACAGTGTTCCCTCTAACATTTTCTATCCTTGGCCGTGAGCTGGATCCAGTCTCCCAGGATTAGCCCCCGGCAGGCCCCCACATTACCATATTTACCTGCAGGTACAGGGGATCGCAGATCCTGTTGGCCATGGATCACCATTTCTGGCTAATGGGAGCTGCAGTTGCCTATGCCTCTGGAGATGCAGGTAAATATACTGGCAGTGGCCCTCCAAGAGCTAATGCTGGTGAACTGCCACCGTTTTATTGCCCACCCTTGAGCTAGACAGTGTATGATCATTTTGACTCCTGGCACTAGGAGCACATCTGCCAGAGACTGAGGACACAGGGCTGTTCAGGGACTAGACTCTGATGAAGGACTGTGTGCAATGTTTGTTTCTTTTTGCAGCATTTGTAACTAATGGGGATTTGGGTTTTTTTCTTACAGAGTTGAGACTTTCACATCTGAAAACAATGAACTGTGGAAAAAAGTGGAAACCTTAGAAAACGCAAACAGGTGAGAGAACAGGGGTGGGCTGCCAAGAAGAGAAGCCAGAGAAGTGCTTGGAAGGAAAGGCAAGGCAGCCCTCCCCCAATTCCTGGCAGAGCCTGGGCTGCACAGCAGGCCCTGGTTCCCCTCCAATGGCAGCAGCAATTCAGCTGGGTTTGGTTAGTGAGTGTGGAATGTTTGTGTTGGGTCAGCAAGGCAGGGACTGTCAGCAAAGAAAGAGAAGGAGCAAGGGAGCTTTCTGCCATCCCTTCCTTCCTCTCCTCACATCCCAGAATCTTTCTGACTGCCTCTCAAACCCTTTCACTCTTCTCGTCTCCATGGAAGATCCCATGCAGGAGGCCGCAGAAGGCATGACAGTGACACCTATTTCTCAACCTACTTGTTCTGCTCTCTGAAGCAGAGAGGGCTATTAAATAGCAAGGGCTGGGAAGACAAGGGGCAGAATGCACGAAAGACCTAGGTTTACAAGGTGACTCGGCAGATTCTAGGAATTTTCTCCTATATGTATTGGAGAATAGGTCCATATAACTCAAAATAGCTCTTTCCAGACCTGACACCAGTGCAAACCCTGCTAGCCCTTGCAGCCTGAGAGAGCCTTCTAGATGTCTGGCACCCATGCAGATCCCATTATATTCTCCCTCCCTCTAGCCTGTGGGAGCGTCCTCCTTGTCTGATACTGGCACAGCTGTTTGCTTGAGGGAGTAAGTCTCTCCTTGCAGCCCTAAAGCAGGCCCCTAACTTCCTTGGCTGAAAGTCTGGAAAGTGCATGGGGTCTCAGCGCTCGGAGCTGGCAGCCTCTCCACCTCAGGAATTTGTTTCCTTTTAATCTGTAACATGGAAGACACATACACATGCAGTAGAAATAGGAAGCAGCACTTGAAACTGAAGTTAGCTCTGCCTCCTGTCACTGTGCATGTGTGGCAGAGCAAGAGCAAAATCAGCAGCTTGGAATTGCCAGAAATTTGGAGCGGGGGGGGGGAGGGGGGAAGGTGTGGAGGGGAAAGGGGAAAGCTCTCTTTAACATATTCCTATGTACATGTTCCCTTCGTTCTGAATTCACACCCTCCTGCACATTTACTTAGATACCCCCCTCAGAGCCGCACCGATACTGGTAACTGCACATGGAAACTCCTTTAACCATGAACCTTTGGCCAAGGAGGGAGGGAACTCAATCAGTGACTCTGTTAACCAAACCATCTTCCCACTTGACCCCATCATCATGATTGGCGTTCCCCAGGGGCTATTGTCCTCCCTGACCTTGCTCTGAGGCTCTTTGGCAGACTCTTTTCCTCTCATCCCCTGACACTGAGGCTCTGACCCCAACTTCCAGGTCAGATGCTGCTTTTCACAGATCCAGGAGATTGTCAAGCAAAAGCCCCTCCCAGCTTGGGAGCTGTGTTTAACTTTTGCCTGGTGAAGATGGTTGGGGCCTGCCACCTGCTGGACAGTTTGTGAACAGCAGGCCATCCTTTCCTAGCACAAGCCCTGCATTTCTTCCCTCTGGGCTTTTGAGAAGCAGCCAGGAGCAGAAGCAGCATTGTTGGTCCCCAGCATTCAAAAGGCATGAGTCAGGATCCCATATTCATATGATTGGCTTAAAAATCATGAGTTGTCACAAAATAAGAATAACCGAGTTTGTTTTATCTGCCTGAGAGGTCATGTTTTCTACTTTCCTCCATGGCCAGGAGAATTCGAAACTAACTTTTAAAACATGAAATCTGAGATTTTCCTGAAACCACCTGACTCCAGGAACTGGGGCTTTATGAAAAATACCAGCTATGATAAGATTTGCAATAAGATTGTGAGAGTTGGTAGTTCTGCATCCGGGACATTCCGGCTGCGTCTAGACTGGCATGATTTTGCGGAAATACTTTTAACGGAAAAGTTTTTCCGTTAAAAGTATTTCTGCAAAAGAGCATCTAGATTGGCATGGATGCTTTTGCGCAAAACGTGCTTTTGCGCAAAAGCATCCATGCCCAGTATAGATGCGTTTTTGCGCAAGAAAGCTCCGATTGCCATTTTAGACAACGGGCTTTCTTGCGCAAAAAATTAAGGTGCCTGTCTACACTGGCCCTCTTGCGCAAATATTCTTGTGCAAGAGGGCTTATCCCTGAGCGGGAGCATCAAAGTATTTAAGCAAGAAGCATTGATTTTGTACATTACAAAGTCAGTGTTCTTGCGGAAATTCAAGTGGCCAGTGTAGACAGCTGGCAAGTTTTTGCAATCTTGCCAGTCTAGACGCACCCTACTAGGCAATTCATATCAAGCCCAAGGTTCACTAATGCTTCTTGCAGCCTTCCCCTCTACTCCCCCCTCCCCACCCCAAAAAAAACATTCCTTTACCATTCCATTTCTAAGTGGTTCTGCTTTGTAGTGGGAAGTAAGTAATGTGTCCAGAACTGGGGGGGGAGCATGTGAGGGAATTTAAACCAGGTGGTAAGCCTGTTATGTGGAAGACAGGGCAACTAGGGGAGGAATTATTCACTCAGCTCTACATCTGGCTTCGCTCACAGCCCCCTGTAGAGCCTGGCAAGAGAGATGAAGCTGAAATGGATCACTTTTTTTTGTTGTTTGTTTTTTTGCTTCCCTTTCAGCCTTATCATAGAATCATAGAACCATAGAGCTGGAAGAGACCTCAGAAGGTCATTGAGTTCAGCCCCCTGCTCTAGGCAGGACCAATCCCAACTAAATCAACCCGGCCAGGACTTTGTCAAGCCGAGACTTAAACACCGCTAGGGATGGAGACTCAACTACTTCCCTAGGTAACCCAGAGGTGGGGTGCATAGCATGGCCACTGTTCCACCCCCAGAATATGGGCGATGCCAGTACTTCTGGGAATGGCATGACCCTGCTCCTGGTGGTATGACCTCACCCGATGTGAGGACCAGGTGGCATGGGTAGTGCTATGGGATGTGCAGCAGCCTTAAGGCAAACCGTTTGTCCAGTTTGGGGCCTCATTTTCTTGGGTTTGTCCATTGTCCAATAGTGAGACAAAACCAGATGTGGTGTTGTCTGGCATCAGAGATGAGTAATGCCATTTTGAACAGCTGGTGCCCTGCCCCTGCGGGCATGAGCTCACCCACATCCGGTGAGGTCATACCACCAGGAACAGGGTCATGCCATTCCCAGAAGTACTGGCATCGCCTGTATTGTGGGGGTGGAACAGTGGCCATGCTATGCACCCCACCTCTGGGTATTGGCTCTATCTGGGCAGAGTGGACTGGAGTCCGGTTCCAACTAAATCTGATCGGTGGAGTCAGGGCAGAGGGGTTAATGTGGCACCAAGTGAAGAGATGTCCTTTACCCAACTCCTTTTGGCTCCATTGCCTCTGTGACTATCACCTTCATTTGTTTGCTTGCCAGGCCTGTCTGGTGGGAGGACTTGGAGAAATAACGGAGCTCATCTCACTCAGAAGAAAACTGGGGTGGACATTGGAGGGTTCAGCTTCACTCTCGTAACCCTTGATGATTGTTCCCTCCTCATTGCACTGACTTGTGATTGTGTTCTCTCCTAGGACTTTGCTCCAGCAATTACAGAAGCTCCAGGCCCTAGTAGCTGGGAAGGTCTCCAGACCATATAAAATGGCTTCCACACAGACAGGGACCTGCCTGATGGTATGTGCTTCAGATTCTCCATTCTTTATTGGCCGTGATTCCTTGTGCACCTTTATCCATCACCCCATTCCCAGACAAGCCAGGGAATTCTCTATAGCATGCTTCCCAGCCTGGAATAACTAGTGGATACAAGTCCAGTGTCCAACAAAAAGAGGGGCTTTATTTTGGCTATTTATTGCCTTGCAATAAAATGGGGGGAAATCAAGCATGCAGCCCTTTCTCCAAGGATCCTCAATATCCTTCTGGGAGCCCAGAAGAGCCTCTTCTCTGTTTCACTGCTTTGTATGCCCCACCTTTGAGGCCAAATATAGGAATTGCAAGACTGAATTAGACCAGGAGTCCTGCTAGTCCAATATCCAACCTTCGATAGTGGCTAGTGCTAGGTGGATATACGAAACCCTGCTGTTCCATTGAATTCCCCCTAGTTCTTTTATTATGAGCAAGGTTAAACTGGAGTGTCTGATCTACCTTCTCGGCACCATTCATTATTTAACTCTCTCTTGCCTCTTATTTGTATCCTTCTAATCTAAACTAACAAACCTATTCTTTTCAGTCTCTTGCCAAACAAAAGTCAGGCCTTCTCTCATTCCCATTGCCCATTTCTGAACCCCCCTCTAGCTGCTATTTCATTTTTTGAGACTGGGTGACCAGAGCTGAGCAGTCTCGTTGGTGAGAGTATAATGGCATTGTAATAGTTGTCATCTCACTCACCACGCAAACAGCCTTTTCTTTGCTTTTTGTCAACCACTGTGCATCAAGCAAAACTTGGAACTGAGCTCCCACAATGGTGCCCAGACCTTCTCTCCTGGATGGCTCAAGTTAATGCTTACTGTATGAATAGTTCAAATTATTCCTTCCTGTGTTCATTGCCTTATATTTTTTCAACAGTGAATTTTATCCAGTATTGAGCTGCCTGGTCATCTAACTTCATTAAATCCCTCAGAAATTCCTCAAAGTTTGCTCTCTCCTTGACTAACCACATCGTTTTGTGCTACCTCTGCTGGTTGCTCTTTTCACAAATCATTGCTAGATCCTTTCAACACCCCCAGCCCTACTATGGGCATGCAGGGCACCTCACTATTAACCTTTGGCCATGGTGAAAACTGAACTGATTATTCTTATTTTTGTTTTTTTGCTTCTTGGATAGCTCCTGGTCCATGACAGATCTTTACCTCTCATCATGTTACAGCTAGAGGCATTTTCTTAACAGCTTCTTCCACAGGACTTGGTCAAAAGCTCTTCTGTAAATCCAAATACTTTCAATCAGTTCTCCTTTATCTACCGCTGTGTTGACAGAACCATCAAATTCTAGTAGCTTGGAAAGGCTACTTTTTTTTTTAACCAAAGTCGTGCTGATTTGTTCCTAGTACATCAAGTGTTTCTGAATTCATTTTTAATCCTGCTTCAGGACCCTTGATGCTCAAGTGAGCTCAGCATCTGCAATTCCTAGCATCTCTCCTTTTTACAGGTCGGGTGCATCTACACTTCACCCTTGGCTCAAAATAAGCTCCATGGCGCCAAATTTCAAAATAAACTGCTATTCTAAAACATCCCTTAATCCTTGTGGAACGAGGTTTACAGGGACATTGGAATAGCGAGCCCATTATATTTCAAAATAATGGGTTTGCTTAAAAGATGCAGAATAGCTATTTCGGGACACCAGAAGTATCCCAAAATAGCACCACTGTCTAGATTGGGGTGGGCAATAATTTTTGCCCAGGGCCCACTTCAAACATTTTTGAAGTAGTCCTGGGCCACCCCTGGAGGGGAGGGACCTAAATAGGAAGGGGTGGGGCCCTAAACCTAAACAGGAAGGGGGCAGGGCTACCCACCCCCAGACTATGATTGGCATGGGGGTAGGGGAGCAGCAGGGCCTCCGCAGGCCGGGTCCACCTGCTTAGCAGGCCGAATCAGGCCCACAGAGGCCCTTTTGCTAACCCCTGGTCTAGATGTACCCTTAGATATATTTGCTCCTCTTCAGGACTTCTAATTATAATGAGAGATTGCATATATTCGTTAGCAGCTCAGCCACTTCCAGCCCTTCTCAATTGTTGGGTGTAAACTATGTATCTGGGCCTAGTACCTCATTGCTCCATCAGGCATCTGTTGGTTCCTGGACAGCCGCAATGTTTGACACATTTCATCTTTATTGCCTGGAAAGAGTAGGTTTAGGACAAACATCTCCCAGACCTTCTGTGCTATAGACTAATGTATAAAATATATTAGCTTCTCAGAAATGTTTTGTTTTCCTTAGTTGCTGCCTTCACTCTATGACAGTCCAGTTCTCTCACGGGCTTACTGCCTCGACGCTATTTCAAGAATTTATTTGTGTTACAATCTTCAGCTATTTGCTCCTCATATTCCCTTGTAGCTCTCTCTGATTCCATCTTCTATTTAGGGTTGCCAGGTGTCTGATATTTCCTAATTAAGTTTTTATTATTATCATGAGTATCAGTACGTAGTTGCATACTGCCTGGCTGGTACACACACTCGCGCTGAGTGAGCGTGTCTACCAGCCAGGCAGTACGCAAGTACACAGTGGGGTGGGGGCAGGGCGGGATGGAATCCCTGGGGCCAGACTCGCCTGTGCACCCCACCGGAACCGTGCACAGGATGGGCATCACCCCAGGATCTACAAGCGCCTGGACCAACCCTGCTCCCCACTGGCCGGTTTCCCCCTGCTCTTCCCCCGGGCCAGCCCCACTCCCCCCAACCCGCTCCCGGCCAGCCCCGCTTCCCTCCCAGCTGGTCCTCACCCCCCATCTGAGATTGTGTGTCCAGTATTTTTTTAAACCATCTGGCAACTCTACTTCTATTTTCCTTCCTCTCATTTATGCTTCTCTCTGTTGACTTCATGGGTTGGATTGCCATTTTCTGAAGGGTTTTTGTTTTTCAGTGGGGGGGGGAGGGGTTGGCTCAAATAATCTCTTCAACCTTTGGATTTACCCACTCTGGATTGTTCTCCCCACTCATCTTCCTGAGTCCAGGTGAGGATCCTGAGTGCCCTTGTGTGCATACATAGTCTCTACACAATGTTAGTAGCCTTCATGTGGAGTTTAGCTAATTTCATTTTCTCTCTTTTGACTGTAGGAGGTTTTTTGGACCAGACTCTCCTTTTTTGAAATCTCCCTTTCCAGAGTACGGTGTCACTGTGCTAGAATTTGGAAAGCTTCATTATACTGTGCCTACTTAGCTGCTCAGCTATTAGTTCTTGATAAACCAACTGCTCTGTTACTTAGGACTGCATTAAAAATCTCTCTTCTTTTGAGCTCTAGAGCTATTTGTTCCAAAAATCACTTGCTTAAGGTGTCAAGAAATTGCTCCTCTAGTTTTTATCCTGATGTGACACTTGACCAGTTTATATAATGCAAGTAGAAGAAAGCACTCATCATTACTGTTTTGTACTAGGCTGTGTTGATTCCTGGATCTTTCCAGCACTGTGCAATTAATATCTTTGGCTATGCTGGAGCCTGGTAGTATAACACTACTAGTCCAATTGTATTCTCGTGACATGAGATTAGAGCCTACACAGATTCTCACTCTGAATTGTTATTGCCCTAGTTCTATAGAACCGCAAGTACACTCTTCCCCCCAGATGCCCACTCCTCCCTTTGTGAGCTTACCTGTCCTCTCTGTATTGCAATAGATCAATACTGCAATAGCCTATTGATTCTACCATGTTTCAGCAATTCCATTTACATCGAGGTCTTCTTCCACTGCCAGGCATGCTCATTCACCTATTTGTGCTTTCAGTCTTCTCACATTTGTGTAGACACAGGTAGTTTTTACTTTTGACCATTCACCTGTTTTTATGTCACTCCTTAACCTGAAAATCAACAGGAGATCTGAGCTCAGGCTGCCACTGTTCCAGTTCATCAAGCATTTAGGTCTTATCCTGTACTGGATACAGAGATATCTTTATATAACTCACATTCCTAGCAAATGTCTTTGATCTGAGTGCCCTTCTGGACCTATTGTCTTTCCCCTAGCTCAGGGGTGGGGAACCTCAGGCCCAGGGGCCAGATGCAGCCCCTGGTTTGCCTGGATCTGGCCCCTGAGGTTCAGTCCCCCTCCCCCACTGGTGAGCCCATGCTGGTGCTCCAGACCCTCCTGCCTGCATTGCCACACCATGGGACTGGAGGACAACAAATCTACTATGCTAGGCTTCCCTAAGCTCTGGTGTGGGAGGGGAATGTGGGGAGTGTCTTTCTCCTTCTCAGTCAAGGGCCATGTCAGTGAGGGGTTTTGTTTGTTTTTGCTTCTCACTTGTGTGCGGCCCCTGACTCATTTTTCTATGGGTCAGTGGCCCCTGACCCAAAAAAGGATCCCCACCCCTGCCCTACCTCCTGCTTTAACAGTGTCCCCAGACTGGATTCATTCTCCATGCCTGCAGTCTGTCTCCACCTCTTAGATGTAGGCTCTTCTCCCTGGCACTGCTGACTAGAGACTCTAACCCCCTTCTCTGTATTCCATCTCCCGCCCATGGAATGAGACTCTGAAGTTGCCTGCCTAGCTGGCCCTGCCTGCGGAGCTGGAAGTATTTCAGAGAAAGTGACAGTGGGGAACAGCAGATTTAATCCTTTCTCTTGATAATCTCAAAAGAGCAGGAGTGACCCAGTTGTCAATCCCACCACGTGGTCTCCCGCTGCTGGGGGTTTGTGTGCTGGGATCACAGTATTGCCTCGGGCCTGGCAGTGCTGATGGTTTTTAATGTCTCACCCCCAGGTACTGGTGCTGTGTTTCGTTCTGGTCCTGGGATCCATGATGCCGTGTCTCCCAGAATTCTCCTCCACCTCACAGACAGTGAAAGCCGCTCCGGCTCCAGACATTTACACAACCAGTAAGAGTGAGTCCGACACGACACATTCTTGTAATCCCTTGGAAGTGCTCCTAGCCCCTCTCCTCCTGATATGCTTACAGCGGGGAGAGCTTCCTCACAGCAGGGCCCTACCAGGGTGAGCTGTCTCAAAGCAGTGCTTTGTGCATTGCTCTTGTTTCTCCATTTAGCACACGACAGCTCCTAAAAGACAGGATGGGAGAAGAAAATAATGGATCCATCTCTTTCCTCCCATTGCAGGCTGAGGGTGTTCCAGGGATGCAGCGTGTGTGCATCGGGGTTGGTCTTAGGCAGTTGAAGTGGGGCAGGCTGTGTTGGTGTGCGTGGACCGCAATGTGCTTGGGTAGCTGTGTGCTGGGCAATCTGCATGTGTGCAGCTTGTGGCTGGTTTTGCATTTAATGATACTCTCCCCTTTTACAGTTCAGTCCCGGAGCCTCCTGTTCTATGACGAGGGCACTGGCTCCTTAGAGGAGGGCTACGGCTCCTTCCTTCCAGTGGAGCATCCTGTGGGCTGGGAGACGGACAAAGGGCAGTCTGAGGAGAGGAGGCCTCAGGAGCGCATGCAGGGCCACCTGGCCAGGGTGCACGAGACAGCCAAGTATCTAAACAAATCCCACATGGAGGGCCCAGACCAGAACCAAACTAACCCAACTCTTACCCACCTCAAAGAGCAGTTCCAGGAGAGGTAAGCACGCTGGCAACTCATCCCTCTGCCCTGTCTATTCCAGGGGCTTTGTCTCCAAACCACAGAATGGCCTGAGAGAGGGAGAGTGTCAGAGCTGTCCTGTGCTCCCAGAAAGGGGAGCGCTTTGACACAAGGCTGGGCGCTGATAGGCTAAACAAGCTCTCCTGGGAGTGCACTAATGCAGGGACTGTGGCTGGATCAGAAGAGTGGGAGCCACAAGTGGGACTAGAAAGTGGAGTTGCTCTGGCATAGTGACCAGTAGACACAAGGGCGCTGGATAGCTAAAGGATTCCAAAATTTGCAGGCTGGTCAGTGCTTAGGTGTGAAGGTCTGGGAGACTCTTTCCTGAACAGTACAAACCAGTATCCACGGCAAAAGACAGCCCTCTTAATTGGCCCTCTTTGTTCCCGTGTAGATAATCTGAACAGTGAGGCCATCACCAAATGGGACGCGGAGATGGGACTCACAGTCACTGTGCAGGGCAGATCAGCTAGGTGCAGATCACCGAGCGAGTGGGGAACAGAGGGAGGAGACGAAAGGGACTGCAGAGGAGTTCTCTGCTCCCAAAACAGAAATAAGGGAGGCATGAAATTAACTCTGCTTAGACAGTGGCAAGAAGTGGGCTCAGTGGGTGGGAAAGAAAGGTAAATGCAGCAGATCTGATTGCTTGGCTTTTCTTTCCCTCAGGGAGGTGCGCTCCAGTGATGCAGCCGAATCTTTGTAGCAGATGCCAGCCCTCAAGGCCTCGTCCGACTGGATGCAGACTCCCCTCCCCACTGAGTGATTGAGGGGACTTGGTGGGAGAGGACACTGCGTTCAGACACTCCCAAGCTGGTGTTGGCCTCAGCCTCTCATTTCCACGCAGCCCATGTTAGTGCTGATCTCTCTGATGGGATTCACTGTGACTGCCAGCATCAGGGATTGTCTCTGCCCAAGCCCTTCTCTCCTCCCCTGTGAACATTGCCTCACCAGTGTGTGTTCACCCTCTTGCTGGGCTGGAGGAGGAGATCCGTGTGTGACTTGAGATTTGTATGTGACATCATTTCCAACAGTTCTGTACCCCTTGCTCATGTCAGTCAAATGCACCCGAAGGAGAGAGAGCTGAGTTTATTACCTGCTAGTATGGTAACTTCGGGGTTAGTCTCCGAGGCTGCATCTAGATTGGCATTATTTTCCAGAAATGCTTTTAACGGAAAAGTTTTCCGTTAAAAGCATTTTCGGAACAGAGCGTCTAGATTGGCACGGATGCTTTTCCACAAAAGCACTTTTTGCAGAAAAGTGTCCGTGCCAATCTAGATGTGCTTTTCCACAAAAAAGCCCCGATCGCCATTTTCGCAATCGGGGCTTTTTTGCGGAAAACAAATCTGAGCTGTCTACCCTGGCCCTTTTGTGCAAAAGCTTTGCACAAAAGGGACTTTTGCCTGAACGGGAGCAGAATAGTATTTCCACAAGAAGCACTGATTTCTTACAGTAGGAAGTCAGTGCTTTTGCGGAAATTCAAGCGGCCAGTGTAGACAGCTGGCAAGTTTTCCTGGAAAAGCGGCTAATTTTCCGGAAAAACTGGCCAGTCTAGACATAGCCCTAGAGAACTGGGAGTGAGATAGTTTCCTCCCTTCACTCCACAGTTAATATGCTTCTGCCTCAGCAGAGAGAAGACCTACTTTGATCTAGCTGTCTCTCAAAGGATGTGCTCATGTAACTTCCATTCCAGCCACCTTCAGAAATTTCACAGACTCTTAGAATCAGACGTAAAATTCTGTCTGCAGCTCCAGGGAAACCAGTGCACCTTAAGTGGGGTATGTCTACTACACTATGGGACAAGGTCGAATTAAGCTACGCAACTTCAACTACATTAATTGTGTAGCTGAAGTCTAAGTACCTTAACTCGATGTTTGGTGCTGTCCACACTGCAGGAAGTCGAAGGGAGAACACTCTCCCATGGACTTCCCTTACTCCTCGTGGAAGCAGGACTGCCAGCATTGACCGGAGCGCCCTTCTTAGTTCGAATTAGCTGTCTTAACTAGACCCATTAATTCAAACCCTGGAAGATTGACAGCAGCAGCTTCCATCTTCTCTGTAGTGTGGACATATCCTAAGACAGAGCACAGCCCTCCCTGCCCACTTTCCAC